TCCTAGGTTGGTATCTGGCTGGTTCAATCCTGTGTCCTATATACAGCCTGTGGTCTGATGTTTGTTTTCAGTTCGAAGGACTCCCTTTAATAGTTTTTTTAAATTTGGTTTGGTTTTTACATAGTCCCTTAATTTCTGTTTATCTGGAAATGACCTAATTTCACCATCATATTTGAACGAGAGTTTTGCAGGATATAGTCTTGGCTGGCAATTTTTTTCTTCCAGGGTTTTATATATGCCATCCCATTGCCTTCTTGCCTGTATGGTTTTTGCCGAAGAATCCAAGCTGTCTTATTGTTTCTCATCTGTATGTGACTTTTCATTTTTCTCAAACTGCTCTCAGGATTATTTGTCTTTGGTTTTACCAAGTGTAATTATGATATGCCTTGGTGATTTTGGGGAGGTTATATCCTATATGGGGTTCATTGAGCTTCTTGGATGGTCAACTTTTCATCTTTCATAATATTGGGGAAGTTTTCTGTCGCAATTCTTCAATGATCCTCTCTGAGTTTTCTGTTTTCTCCCCCTATTCTGGAACTCTGATCACTAGAAGAATTTTGCTTTTGGTTTTAGCCCACATAATTCTCAGGGTTTCTTCATTTTTCTTCATTCTTTTTTCTGATTTTTTTTTCCTCAGAGTTGTAGTTAAGTGTTTGTCTTCAATTTTGCTGATCCTGTCCTCCATCATTTCAGACCTGCTTCTCAGCCCTTCTATGACACTGTCCATTTCTGAAATCTTGTTGTTTATCTTTTGGATTTCTTATTGTTGTCTTTGTATGATTTCTAGTTGTGAGTTTGTTTTAGTATTTGTTCCTGTATTATTTTTCTGAACTGTTCCATTTTTTTGTTTGTATTTTCCATGACTTTGTCAGCCTTCTCCATGAATTTGTCTATTTTTTCTTCGTTTTTGTCTGCTTTTTGCTTCAACTCTTGGATAATTCTGAATATTTGAGATTTGAATTCCCTATCAAGTAGTTCTAGTGCCTTTTCTTCTACTGGAAAGTAATTTGGTGTTTTATTTTTGACACCTACTGGAACGATCCTGTCCTGTTTTTGTATATGTTTTGATATTGTCTGCTGTCCTTGGTGCCTTCAATAGTTATTTTCCTTGTTTACTGATCGTAGATTTGTTTTGTCCTGCTTGTTTGTTTTATTTGGTTATGTATGAGCAGGCGGGTTGTGCATTCTTTGTTGTTTGCTTGTTTGTGGTCACTATACTTTTCACCTCCTTCTCCAATGGGCAGGGTCAGTCACTCAAGTATGGTACAGCAAGGCAGGTCCAGCTGAAGAGGAGTTGCTGGGATGCATCGTTTGTGGCACATACTAGAGCCGACACGGCAGGCCAGGAATCAGTGCAGGGCAGGTTCCAGTAGGCCTTGGCTATGCTGCTCAGGAATGTGATGTTTAGCACATGGTGCAGGTTGGTAGGAAGTGGGGAAGATTGTGATGTGTGGAGCTAAGATGAGTATGGGAAAGGAGAGAGGAACAAGAACCAAAAACATACACACAAACAAAAAAAGAGTGGTTAGGGAGCTTGGTGTTGGGGTGGAGAGATGAGAAACTGAGAAATGGAGAAAAAAACAAAGAAAAAGAGTAAAAGAAAAAATTAATAAAAATCAGAGAAAAAACAAAAGCCCCCAGGGATCCCGCCAGTGCGGCTGCTAGTACTGGGGGTGTTGCTCCCAGGCTGAGAAGTACTGCCTGGCTAGAAGTGTAGAGATGTCACACAGTTCCAGATATTCAGGAGACAGGAAGACAAGGTAAGTATAGAGAGATGAGAAACAGGAAATGAAGAAAGGCAAAAAGGGAAAAAGAGAGAGAACAAAACAAAGAGAAAAAAATACTAAGGCAAGAACAAGAAAAAAGAAGTGTCCCCCGGGATATCACTGTGCATATGTGCAGAGTAAGGGAGTAGCTCCCAAGCTGCACAGTACTGCCCGGCTAGAAGGGGATCCCAAGCTGAGAAAAGAAAAGGAAAGTAAGCAAATCAAAACAGAATAAATCAGAACAAACAAAAAAAGCACCGTGGGTCGCACCAGCATGGTGGCACGGGCCGAGAAGCAGTTTCACAGTTGAGCGTTGTTTACCAGCCTTCGAGGAAGAAGGAAAGATGGCACATGGAGCCAGGTGTGAGAGAAAGGAGGAGATGGTGAGAGGTAAGGAAGAAATCTGAAGAAGCAGAAAAAAGTAACACCAGCAGCCAACAAATGGTACTCAGAGAGCCAGCCAGTGCAGGCGGGTGGAATCCAAGTGACACCGGGGTGAAGTCAGTGCTTCCCGGCCAAGAGACTGTGGCTGCAGGAAGCAGAGGAGGCCGAGTGAGGGTGAAGAAGGGTGGGATGTGGGAAGGTGTATATTGCTGTTTACTGATTGTTCTCTCTCTTGCTGGAAACTCCATGAAGCTGCTTTCTCATATCCCCTTCACTGATCTCTAATAGGAGTTCAAGATGGCAGATCCGTGCTGTGGTAGCTGATAGGGAACCTCTGCATGTATCTCTCCTTGCTCTCTATTCTCGGTCAGCTTCTTATTCCATTTGGTGCTTGGCCGAGTTCCCTGTTTGTTTGGTTTCAGGATTGACATGTGCCTCTGTTTGACTTAGTCTTTCAGATCTTTGCTGTGGAAGGATGGTGTGCTTCTGTCTGTAGCGCCATGTTGCCTGGAAGTCTCACATAGTAATTTTTGATACATGATAATATGCCTGTTGGCTTTATTTTTTTAAGACTATCTTGTTTATTGTTAGCGATTTGCATTTTCACATATTTTATAGTTAGTTTGTCTAATATCCAACAAAGTATCTGCTGGGATTTTTGGTGAGATTGCTGTGAATCTACAAATGAGTGTGAGAGAATTGATGTTTTTATAATATTGAGCCTTGCCATCTGGAATCAGTTATATCCTTCAATTTATTTGGGTTTTCTTTCGTTTCCTTCAATAGTACCTAGTACCATATTTTTATGCAAATAGCACACGCGTTTTGTGTTTTTTGCCAACCACGCTATAGCACGCTTATGAAAATACCTTGCAGGGGGAGGGTGTGGTTGGCAAAAAACCATAGAATGTGAGCATTATTTCTGTAAAAACACGGTAACTCTGTTTGTAAAGAGATTTTCATATTTTTTAAAACTTCAGTTGCGCTTTTAAAAAATTACAATTTTTTTGCTTTTGGTAGTATAATGAAATATATAAAATTTGTAACACTGAACTTGTATCCAGTTTCTAAAATGTACTTTCATTTTGACTTTATGTGCACATGTTTTTTTTCCTTATTACCCTAAGAACCTTAGAAAAATGTTAAATAAAATTGTAGATAGCAGGCTTCTTATCTTTTTCCTAATTTTAAGTTGAACAGTTTCCGCTTTCACCATTAAGTATGATGTTTGCTTTAGGTGTTTATAGGAATCTTTTATCGTAATTAAGGAATTTCTTTTCATTTCTAATCTGCCTAGAATTTTTATCATGCTTTTCTGTGTCTGCTGATGTGATCATGTGGTCATTTCTTAGTTTTTAAAACTAGTCATTCTTAGTTTTACCTGTCAGAAAATTCTTTTATGATCTTCATGACCTTTTCTTTCTCTGCAGGCTGGTTTAAAAAATATTTTTCTCTCAGATTTCATTCTTGATAATTTTCTCTCTTTTGCCTCTCAGTTCTCTGAGAACCTTCTGATTCATTCTTGATGACTTCAACTGCCACCAAATTATTTTTCAAATCTTTATTTTAATCCTGTATTTACAGTATTATGCTTCACATTCAGTATATTTAAGTCCTAGCTTTCTAAAACATTGTGCCCAGTCTATTTCTCCCCTAATTTCCCAGTCTCACTTTGTGAGTCTAGTATCTGTTCATGCAGATAGTCTGGGGAAATACTTGCTTATGCCCAGTGAGTTGATGAGTATGTTCTGTTGCTGCATATCTCATAGTATCAGTGCCCTATTTTTATCTGTTTCAACTATAATAGTTTATGTAAGTGGTTTTGCTTTACTCTTTAGCCTTTCCATTGCTTTTTCAAGAGAAATGGTTCTGCGTCTGGTGACATAATTTCAATATGTATTCATGTCTATTTTTTGGCTCTCCTTTTTTCCATAGTAGTGATCTCTAAAATAGGGGCATGCACCCTAGAAGACGTCTAAAACCATCCCTTTGGACATCTTTTTCTATGTGTTTTACAGATACTTGAAGTGTAGTATTTTCAAAATCTTTCCCTTAATCACTTTCTACACGTCCTAATTATTGTCTCTGAATTGAGGGGTTAGAACCTAGAATTATTATTGCAGTCTAATAAAACATAAGGCTACCTTTCTATATTTTAAAATTTAAGTAAGAATAAAATTAAAATTCATACTGTATATATTGACAGTGTATTTGTATAATTTATAAATATAAATCTTTTTCAGTGCTACAAAGTACTGTTGAAAATGATGAGTGATTAACACTTAGATTATTTGTCTAAAATTAGCCCATAATTAGTTTTCTGAATACGTCCATGGCCCTTTATCTCATCACAGCTCCAGGCTATATTTTCAACTCCTCATGTGCTGTTATCCTTCTAAGTTCCTGTATTATAGGCCATGACTTTGCTTATGCCATCACCCTCTGTTCATGGAGAGCACAGTGTTACTCTTCAGTCCTTCCCTAATGAAGTCCAAAATAGAACTTAGTTTGCTCTTTATTATAATTTAAGTCTGTATGTATTTTCACCTTAGCCCTTGTAACATATTATTGTATATGTCATGTGTTTTCTTACCAAACTGTAAGAAATACAGGATTACTTTATCTTAGTATTCCCAGCAACTGGAATAGTTCCAGGACGCGATAAAATTTTTTTGGCATGAATTACTGACAATATATTAGGAAAATATTTCTATTAAAATTTTTCTTTTTCCAGTGTATGAAGTAAAATAATTATTTTATAAATCATTTTTGGTAAGCTGTGAACAGTAATTATAAAAAGAATTAGTTAGCTTTTTTTTTTTACATGTTACCTTATTCTGAACGTTTCAGGTTGAACAGAAATTCCAGGGATCAGTATCACTTAAAGATGTGATTGTGGGCTTCACCCAAGAGGAGTGGCAGCACCTGGACCCTACTCAGAGGTCCCTGTATAGAGACGTGATGCTGGAGAACTACAGCAACCTCATCTCAGTGGGTAAGGTCTTCTTAGTATGTAATTCCAAATAGCATTCATTTACTCTTTTAATTATTGAAGCACATGGACAGTCTGAGGCTGTAAGGGTATTTTAAGATCGTAGAGATATTAGAAATAATGATAAAATTGAGATTCAGGAATCAGTGTTGATTGATCTCTTCTTTGGCACCAGGAAGATATTTTTGTTTACTTTTCCACTGAAATGTTCCAGTAACACCTTCATTGTAAAGCTCCATAAGCTTACTCCTTCTTCAGAGGCCTGAAGTCTAGGCAGCATGGTCAAAGTCCTAAATTGTTTTCCTTAAACAGGGTATTGTGTTACCAAACCAGAAGTGATCTTCAGACTAGAGCAAGGAGAGGAGCCATGGATATTGGAGGAAGAATTCCCAAGCCAGAGCTTCTCAGGTGAGTTACTGTGTACTGCACAGATGAGCATTAGGGAATGTGATTTCTCTGTGGTTAATACAGGAGGCAACTTTGAAACATTTTTCAAGACTATCTCTTTAGTCATCCTAACCTTTGGAAGTGAGAATACTGATTCCTAAATCATGCCTCCCAGACCACTCTCACAAAAACGCCCTCATTATGATTTATATTTTTGAATATTTACCTTTCTTATATCTGCCCATAATTCAGTCTTTGTCCATATCATCTTTACTGTTTGTTTTTCTTGGCTACTCTATATATTTCTCCAAGCAATTTCAGTTGCCCGGCTTTCCTCCATTTTTCTACATTGCTGTTGTTGTCAGGCATTTATTCATGTATTAAATTTTCATTCAACAAATACTTTTTTGAGTGCCCATTATGTGTGAACCATTTTCTAATTGTTGGGGATATAGTAGTGATTAAAATAGTGTCTCTAAATGAGTTTGTACAAGTAGTGCTAAACACACAAGCATAGATACGTATGTAAATTAAATAGTTTTGTTTTATGGTGACAAAAAGTATAAAGGAAGTTCAAGTAGGGTTAAATTGATATGGACATCCTATTTTAAGAAGTAATCAGGGAAAACATTAAGGAAAACAACATTAGAGCAGAAAGTTGAATGAAAGAGTGTGAGCCATGAGGATTCTGCCTTTTTTTCAGCAGGTGTAACAGCAACTGCTGATCCCACGGGGCAGGAATATGTTTGGTGTTTTTGAGGAATAACAAAATGTTACAACGTCTGGAAGGGAGTGGTTGACAGGAGGAGGGGCAAGAAACAATGTCATAGAGGCAGCTATGATTCAAAATATGAGAATATCATAAGCCTTATTAAGGAACTTAAATTTTTCTTAATTTATTGGTAGGTTTTTAGTCAATTAGCAACATCTGATTTGTATTCTTGTAAGGTCATTCTCACCAGTATTGAGAGAAAATATTGGGAAGAGAGTAGAGGCATAGGGAGCTCATTAGGGGATTATGATAGTTTTCATTATGAGTGATTATGACAGCTTAACCAAAATTGGAAAGCATGTAGCTGATGACGTGTTGTTGGAGTCTCTCTATATTTTAAAAGTGGAACAATAACAAAACTATCATTCATATCATCGGAATCCCAGAAGGAGAGAGTGAGATTGAAAAAGTAGTCAAAGAAATAATGACTGAAAATTTCCCAAATCTGGTAAAAGAAATAATATTACACATTTAAGAAGTTGAACAAACACCAGATAAGATAAACCCAAAAAAAGATACATCTAAGGCACATCATAAGTAAATTAATGACATCTAAAAAGAAGGGAAAAAATCTTTAAAGTAGCCAGAGAGGAACAACACGTTACTTATAGGGGAACACTAATTTGAATGACAGCAGATTTCTCATATGAAACCATGGAGTCCAGAAAGAAATGCTTCTCAAGTACTGAAAGAAAAGAACTTTCAATCACTAATTCAATATATTGTGAAAATATGTTCAGGAATGAAGGGGAAATAAAGATACTCTCAGACAAAAGAAAACTAAAAATTTGTAGCAACTCTACCCTTAGATGTCTGAAGGAAATTCTGTAAACAAAAAGGAAATGATAACAGAAAGAGGCTTGAAACTTCAAGAAAGAATGTCAGTAGTGGTAAACATAGGGGTAACTATAATAAAGTATCATTATGAGTTTCTGAAATCATATTTGATAGTTGAAATAAAAGTCAATACCATATGATGTGCTCTGTTTGTAGAGAAAATACTTAAGACAACTGTAATTAAAACGTGGGGGGAGGTTAAAGGGAATTAAGGTTTCTACATTTCACTTAAATGGTAGAATGATGATACCAGTGGATTGTGATAAGTTGCATACATACATCGTAATGGCTGGAACAACCATTAAGCAAACTATATAAATCAATATACTCAAAAACAGTATTGATAAATGAAGATATAATCTTAAAAAAAATATTCAAGTAACCAATCAGAACATAGTAAAATAGGAATAGAAGAATGAGAAACAGGAAGCAAAATAAATACATAAATAAAATGATAGACTTAAGCCTAACATCTCAATAATTACCTTAAGCGTATATTATCTGAATACAATTAAAATACACATTGGCAGAGTGGCTTTAAAAAACAACAAACAGGATTTAAACAATCCTGTTTGTGTTATTTACAAGAAACCTGCTTCAAATACAATACCAATCAACCAACCAGTTGCTATTGAGTTGACCCCCCTCAATACAGGTAGTTGATACCTACAAGGACCCATTGTCGTCAAGTTCATTCCCACTCATAGCAACCTATAGGACACAGTATAACTACTCCATAGGTTTTCCAAGGCTGTAATCTTTACAGGAGCAGATTACCACATCTTTCTCTTGTGGAGCGGCTGGTGGGTTCGAACCACCACCATTTAGATTAGCAGCTGAGCACTTAACCACTGTGCCACCTGGGCTCCTTAGGTAAGTTGATAAAGAGTAGAAAAGATATACCATGTAAACATTAAAGCAAAGCAAGAGTGGCCCTGTTAATATCAAATGAAGTAGGTTCCAGAGCAAAGAAAATTACTAGAAACAAAGAGGAGCATTGTATAGTGATAAAAGGATCAAAGAAAAGGACCGCGATCTTAAATGTGCCCACACCAAACAAAAGAACATCAAAATACATGAAGTAAAAACTAACAGAGCTGAAAAGAGAAATAGACAAACCAACAATTATAGTTGGGGAATTCACCTCATTCTCAGCAATTTGTAGAACTTCTACACAGAAAGTCAACACAGTTGTAGAAGAACTGAACAGCACTACCAACCAACGGGATCAAATTGACGTTTGTAGAACACTCCTCCCACCCCTAGCAGAATACGCATTCTTTTCAAATAACATGGAACATTCAGAAAGACCATTTCCTGGGTCATAAAATAAACTTCAACAAATTTAAAATAATTGTCATCATATTTTCTGTGACCGTAAGGGAAGCAATAACAGAAAGATAACAGGAAAACAGCCTAACACTTGGAAACTTAATAAGACACTTCTAAATAGTACTTGAGTAAATGAAGAAGTCTCAGAGGAAAATTTATAAAAATACATAGAACTGAATGAGAATAAAAATACACCATATATGGGAGGCAGTCAGAGCAGTGCTTATAGGGAAATTTTTAGCACTAAACGCTAACGTCAGAAAAGAGGAAAGGTTTCAAATCCATTATTAACTTTCTACCTCAAGATACGAGCAAAGAGTGGAAAATAAACCCACAGTAAGCAGAAAGGGAATTCCAGAATGCTTAATTGTGCTCATGAGGAAGGTGTACATAGAACAAGAGGCAGTCGTTTGAACAAAACGGGCATACTGTGTGGTTTAAAATCAGGAAAGGTGTTCGTCAGGGTTGTATGCTTTCACCATACCTATTCAGTCTGCACACTTAGCAAATAATCCGAGAACCTGGACTATATGAAGAAGAACGCGGCATCAGGATTGGGGGAAGACTTAGTAACAGCCTGTGATATGCAGATGACAAAACCTTGGTTGCTGAAAGCGAAAAGGACTTGAAGCACTTATTGATAAGGGTTAAAGACTACAGTCTTCAGTACAGACTACAACTCAACATAAAACAAAAATTCTCAAAACTGGACCGATAAGCAACATCATGATAAATGGAGAAAATATTGAAGTTGTCAGGGATTTCATTTTATTTGGATTCATAGCGCCCACGGAAGCAGCAATCAAGAAATCAAAGGACCCATTGCATTGGGCAAATCTGCTGCAAGAGACCTTTTAGAAGTGTTAAAAGCAAAGGTGTCATTTTGAGGACTAAGGTGTGCGTGAACCAAGCCATAGTATTTTCAGTCACTTCATATGCATGCGAAAGTTGGACAGTGAATAAGGAAGACTGAAGAAGAATTGATGCCTTTGAATTATGGTGTTGGCGAAGAATATTGAATATACTATGTATTGCCAGAAGAACAAACAAATCTGTCTTGGAAGAAGTACAGCTAGAATGCGCCTTAGAAGCGAGGATGGCTAGACTTCTCATTTACTTTGGACATGTTATCAGGAAGGACCAGTCCCTGGAGAAGGACATCATGCTTGGTGAACTACAGGGTCAATGAAAGAGAGGCAGACCCTCAAGGAGACTGACACAGTGGCTGCAACAATGGGCTCAAGCCTAGCAACAATTGTGAGGATGGCGTGGGACTGGGCAGTGTTCCTTTCTGTTGTCCATAGTGTCGCTATGAGTCGGAACTGACTTGACAGCACTTAACAACAACAAGCAGAAAGAAGAAAATAATAAAGATAAAAGCAGAAATCAATAAAATTGGAAATAGAAATATAATAGAGAAAATGAAATAAAAAGGTTGTTCTTTGAAAATAATAAAATTGGTAAATCTCTAGCAAGATTGACCAAAAATAAAGAGAAGACTAATCACCAATATCAATGAAGAAACAGGAGATACCACTCAGATCCTGCATTCTTTAAGGATAATACAGGAATACCATCAACTTTATGTTCACAAATTTGACACTGCGGAAGAAAAGGACTAATTCTTCACACACTGAGATGATATAGGTAATTTGGTCGTATAGACATAGAGGATGGCACAGGACCAGGCTGTGTTTCGTTCTGTTGTACATAGGGTCACTATGAGTTGGAACTGACTCGATGGCACCCAAGAACAACAACATAGATATAGAGAAATTGAATTTTAATTAAAAAGCTCCTAAAAAGGAAATCTCCTAGCCCAGATGTCTTCACTGGAGAATTCTACCATACATTTGAAGAATTAAAAGTGATTTTACACAGTGTCCAGAAAATAGAAGAGGGGAGAGCAATTCCCGATGCGTTTTTTAATGGCCCTGATACTAAAACCATAAAGACAGTGCCAAAAAGAAACAAACAAAACAACAACTTCAAAGGAACTACAAACCTATATCTCTCATAAATTTAGTAGCAAAAACCTTCAAGAAAATATTAGCAAATCAAAACCATTCATGTATACAAA